ATTCCTTTCTTTGTGATCTCTGATAATCTTCACAGGCAGGTTAAAAACAAACATCTTCTGCATGGGTTTTACGCACTCCATAAGTCATATTTCATAGGGACAGCTGTCATTCCACTCCTCCTTCGAAAATTTATCTTCGGTCTGCCCTTTAGTTGTCCCATGATAGTTTTCAATCATGAAAAGAGTAAAAGGTTTAATTTCTAAACAGATGTAGTTTTGGATCACTTCAGCATTTACTTACAATGCAAGGGCAATCCATTTATTTATTTATTATGTATTTATAATGGGCCCTTTTATAAAAATTATTTTGAGGTAGAGTACAGCATATCAGAATAAAATTGGAATAAAACATTAAAAGCATCATTAAAACTCATCAATGGATATTGATCGATTAACAAAGAAAATTCATGTTACAAAGGCCTGTCTAAACAGCACACTTTTCAGAAGATATCTGAAATAAGGGGTGCGGATGGTTCCTACCAAACCTCTATTGGCAGTGAGTTCCACAGTGGCCTATCTCCCATACATGGGAACCAACCATCAAAGATAGGAGTGTACCATTTATTGATCAAAGGTATATATCATTAGTAGGCCTCTTCCCCAGCTGTAGGATCAAGGGATATGGCCTGAGGTGTCATTAGTACACTGTTTCTTCATGTTATCTGAATCAAGTGAGGCGGGAACAGAATTTGAGTGCAGTAGTCTACTCGATGTGGGCCTATAAGCCAACACTAAATCTCTACAAGATCTTGGGAGTGAGTCATTCTTGGAAATTGATTAGGCAACCAGTTCTAGATTGGGTTTCGCTTGCTCTGAAGGAATAGTTATATAATCTATTTCACAGTAATCTGTTCTTTCAAAGGAACCATTTTTTAAATCTATCAGCAGGAAAGGAGCAGCGGCCAGGACAACTGCAGAGCAGGTAAAACGTTTACCACCATTTTCCTGCTCTGCTTTTGCTGCTGCTTCCCTTGAAAGGAAAGATGTGAAGGACCTTCCCACCTGCTACTGATTTACAGCACTGGGTGACCTTGGGCCAGTCATTGCCTTTCAGCCTAACCTACCTCACACGGTTGTGGGGAGGCAGACAAGTGTCAATGCCACCTTGAGCTCCTTGGAGAAAAAGTGAGATATAAGTGTAAATAAAAAATATTAGTGCCTGTGCCGTCTGTTGGTATAACTGCATGGTTTTGATTTTGCTCTAATTCTGCCTGCCTAATGCGTGTTGCTCATGAGTCTTTATTGCTTCTGCAATGAAGGCTGGACCGATTTAAAAAATAAATAATAGATAAGCATGAGGCAATGCACAAAAGGGGTGTGATTATTAATAAGAGTGCATGGAACAATATTTGTCTGTACTAATTTGGGTTTTGGAGAAGGGTTGCATGTGTATTTAGCATGTGTTTTTTAAAAAACCAAAACACAGATATGTTACCTTTTTCTTCTTCTTTGCCCTCCCCTCCTCTGGCATGCATTCTTTTCTTTTCTTTTTCTTTTCCATTTCATGCTGCCAAGGCACCAGTCTTCAACACAGAAAGCACCGAGGTCAGGTTAGAAGTTTTTGTTTTTTAAAAACTCTTCACACAGGATGGAAACATTAAAGCCCATGGTCTGAACAAATGCTAGGATTGAGAGAAATGTATTTCCTGGTGAATCTGAGACCCTAAACCTATTTCTACCTCAAAGGGATTTTAACTAGGACAACTAGCACCTTTAAAAAATGGGAATGCTTTTTTATGTTCATACATCGAAGCAATTTGATAAATCTTTTTAGCAGTTTTGATTCTGTCCACTTCGGTGATTTGGGGCACTCTACATAAGCTAATTTCGTTTGCATTGGTAACATTACAAAATCATGTTTTCAGTAAAGCTTCTTTTCTTCACACACACACACACACACACACACATTTATACAGTTTTGTGTCTTAAAATAAATTAATGCAACAGTGTAACAAAATATAGATTTGCCACTCCAGGAAAACATGAATTTTAAAAAGCAGTCTATTTAGTGTTCTAGAATATAATTTTGCTTTTGTTGTATTTGAAGAAATGAAAATTTCCTTTATACACATCTATCCCAAGATGATTTCAAAGTACTTTCACTTAGAAAAGCTAGCTGCTATTACATATAAATTTTCAAAGCTTGCCAAGGCTTTGGAAGGAATGATGAAAATTACTATTGCACGACCTTCAGGTTTTCTTTGTTTCATAAAGGGCTAAGATAGCATTTTTGTCATTTTTCTTTCAGCTCAGGTCTTTCATCATAAATATCAAAGCATGCAATTATGCCTTCTCATATCCTACCATATTCTGCCTGTTTTCTTCCATGGCAATTGTATTCTCTTTTAGGATATATTTTCCTTTCTTTTTGTTTTTGTATTTAATAAATCTGAAAAGGACTGATGTTTATATTGAGTGCTATAAATTGTTTGTGAAACATATGTGGCATTGATTAAAAAGAAAATGTGTTGATTAAAATGGCTAATCTTATTATACCTGCAGCAGAATTATGAACTGTCAAATCTATCAGCTTCATAATAACACTGATTTGGCCTTCAGGTAGAATTTTATTATTAATGTTTATCGTAGGAAAGGGTTTGGTCTTAACCTTTGGTTGGCTGCAGAGTCTCTCTTTTGGGCTTCATACTGAATTATTCCCCTTAATCTATCATACTTTTCATAACCATTATATTATTTTATCTCATTCTGGGACTCCATAAGACTTGCATTTCAGAACAATCCGAGCTCCCACTGAATTTTGCAGGGGATTTAAGTGCTTAAGATGCAAGGAAATGGCAAGGAGCCTTCCTGAATTGGCCTTTGAAAATGACTATCACATTTCCATAATGCCACATTTAGGTTTTCATATTCCAGGTTTTGTAAGCCATCTTTTCATCTTAGATTAAACTTCCCCAACCTTGTGCCCTCCAGATGTGTTGGACCACAATCCCCATCAATCCTAGCCAGTGGTCAATATCTGGAGGGCATCAGGCTGAGGAAGAGTGTATTAGACTCTTCCTCACTCACTCCTACCCAGTTCATAAATTATGAAACCAAACTACATGGATACCAAACTAAGTGGTTGGCCCTAGGTGATCATACACGTGATAAAGTCAGTTAGTTACCTGTATTAAATGTCATGTGATTTGGCCAATCCTAACGAAGCCCAGAGGGCCATTTAAGGGGCAGCCTCTCATTCAAGAAACTAACAGCAAAGGTGGGCACCCAAGTGAATCTGCTTACTAGTATCAGACTCCCATCTGGAATAATGCATGAACTGGCCCAAGCAGTGAAAATTTATTTATACTGTCAAAAAGTGGAGGAAATGGACAGTGGAAGACCCTGAAACATTGGTAGAATGTTACACTGGGTAAAGGTAAAAAAAGGTAAAGGGCCCCTGGACGGTTAAGTCCAGTCAAAGGTGACCATGAGGTTGCGGCACTCATCTCGCTTTCAGGCCGAGGGAGGTGGCGTTTCTCCACAGACAGCTTTCCAGGTCATGTGGCCAGCATGACTAAACCACTTCTGGCACAACAGAATACCGTGACGGAAACCAGAGCACACGGAAATGCCGTTTACCTTCCCGCCACAGGTACTTGCACTGGCATGCTTTCAAACTGCTAGGTAGGCAGGAGCTGGGACTGAGCAACAGGAGCCCACCCCATTGTGTGGATTTGAACCACCAACCTTCTGTTTGGAAAGTCCAAGAGGCTCAGTGGTTTAGACCACAGTGCCACCCGCATCCCTTTTACCTTACACTGGGTATCCGCTCAGTGACACTGGTAAGTCTCTTCAAGCCTAGTGCCAGCTTTCTGGATTTTAAAAGGGCTATGATCCAACCACACATTGGAACATATATAAGCACCTTGTCTCATGTTTTCCACTTGTTTTGCTGCTGTGAAACTATCCAAAAAGCTCCTCCTACTGTTCAGTGCGAGGCAGGGAGGTGGTGGAGAAAGGAGATTGACCCACCGAGGCCTGCTACTACCTCGTAATGGGTGTTACCATTTTCCCACCCCATTCAAACCAATGTAGCACACAGTTTGTAGATGAAGAGGCTTTTGAGCTTCTTTTATTCTTATTTCTTTTATAGATTTTTAATCTGCCTTGCAGGGCTTGTACCTCACAAGGCTGCTTACAAGATTCAGGCCTTTAAAAACTGAAGTAGGCATGGAATGCCCCTGAATTGACAAGAGGTACATTTATTTAATTTGCATAATTTATTTGCTGCACCGAACATCAACATCCAAAGCACAGAATTTGGGTTTTGTTTATTGACCTCAACATTTACTATAAAGTGAATATTCACTGTATTATCTGAATGAAGCAAAAATACCCAAGACCTACTGATGGTAAAGTAAGGATCAGAGGAGAAGTTTGTTTGGATTCTGTTTTAATGTGAACCTATAAATTCTCACTTCCCAAATCAGCACGCAAGCTGAAACTTCTTCAAAACTTCCACTTATCTGAATTTTGCGATGCAGTTCTCCAAACAAAGAATGTCTATAAAATGCATAAAGTAGTGCAAGGCATACATAAAAATGTGTACATCAATACAAATTAATGTGCAGAAATGCATTCTGTTGGAGTGGGGGTGCTTGTAAAAATGCATATATACTATTTATCCATTCATATGTTTCATGAGATTTATATACAGCTTAACCTAACCTCAAAGCTGTTTGCAAAAAGAATAAGACAATGAAATTAGAATTTTAAAGAAGTTAAAAACAATTTTAAACCTTCAAAAAACCAAAAACAAAATATGTTGGTTTTGCCTAGACAAAAATGCCAAAAAGAGCTTGTAGGTTGTACAAATAAGGAGGAAGTTCCGAAGCACAACCGCTGCCACGCTAAAAGATCAGTTCCTTACAAATGCGGAACAAGTATTATGTGGCACCTGTAACAGTTGTCAGCTCCACAGACATACTAGGTGAAATTGGATACAGAGTGTGTATATTAGGAGAAATGCACATGGAAATGTGCAGGTATGGCATGCAGGCCTTTTCTTTTGTTAAAAAAATGCAGATGTATACAGGAATGAGGTGAACTGAATTTAAGATTGGGAAAAAATGAGAAATCTCAATAGACAGACTTTGTAAAAGCTCAGAGTGGATGAGTTGTGTTGTGCTTTGTTGTGTGACCCTCAGCAATACGTGTGCACAATTTTGGTTCATGGTGTTATTTATTTATCTCTTCCCCACGGGCTCCTGCTTTGTTTCCTGAAGTGCATTCCTTACATCTTGATGGTTTTGTTCCGTGGGCTCCTTTTGTGAAACATCCAGAACTGAAAAAATAATGTTACCTATTAATGACAACTGAAATAAAATCCTGTCTTGCTTCCAGTTGGAAGTATAGACTTCTCCCCTACCCACGAAATCCTGACTTACTTGTTAAGACCTACAAAGCAACATTTACTAAGAACTGTCACTGGGGCTTCATTTGCTCCTTTTGTTTTTGTTTATTACACTGAAAGTTTTATTAAATTTGCACTGACACAAGGAATGAATTGCTTACATCAATGTGAACTGTGCTGTCACACGAATGTGAACTTATTGCCAATGTCTTAAGCTAAAATGTCAAGAGATGTACATTTTCCTCAAAGAGATAAAATTGATTTCTGGTTCCTCTTACCAGCAACACAGCAATATTTATATTATTTTCTATATTTTCTAGATCAAATAGTCATGTTAACCATATCATTGTTTATAATAAGTGGCTTATTTAATAATGTGTTAATTTATTCATATATTTTATTTGCTTATTTTACCCTACCTTTCAGTTTAAAAGATCTCATTAAGGTGTTAAGACACATCAGAACAATTTGAACACAAAATCAACAGATAAATCTAGAAGCACCATTTAAAAACAGCAGCAATGTGAAAAGACATAGAAAAGAAGGAGAAGCAAGGAAATGCCTCAGTCATGAAAAAATTAGGCTTTATTTCGTGGGACAGGGTACTATTGATCATGTCCATCCCACCTGGTTCTCTCCATATATCAAAGACCGAGCAGAGCCCTGCTCAGTCATTGCCTTTTAGAGTTCAGCAAAGATGGAAGTAGAGGCAGTGAGGATCAGCTAACCAGCTGTACCCCACTTCTTATTTTTATAGCCCTCCAACTTGCAGAGGGTGACCTGGTGAAGTAGGGAGTCTCCTGTACTAAGGAAGGCTTCCTATGAGTTTTAGGACCCTGCTTTTCCTGGATTCTAAAATGTGCATGTTGGCAAGATGTTCATCATTGCTGTCATTGCACCCACCTCATGTGTTTGCCGAACCCTAAAAGGTAATGCTGAACTATGGCTCAGGACTTGGAAATGGGGGCCAGCCATGTGAACAGAAAATTTCATTTTCTGTTTAGGAAAGTTTAGGAAACCATTGAGATCCAACAGCGTCTGGGTCCCAACTGGTGCCTTATCCCTGCAGAAGGCTGAATCCACAGTGAGCCCAAACTTCTTAATTGGGTAGGAGGTATCTTCTTAATGTCAATAACAAAACTTAAAGTTTTAAATATATATATGCCAGGAAGCATCTCAAATCAGGGTTTATTTTACTTTTTTTTTTAAAAAAAAAAAAAGCCTACTCTGTTCATCTCAAAGCAATAAATGCAAATATGACGCTTATCTTATTGTTTCATTGTAAATAGTGCTCCCTGCCCCCAGATAGATGATAAATGCATTCAGGAAGCGCAGGACATAAAAATAGCATGTGATATTGAATTGTCTGAAGGCTGAACCAGGTTTTCAGGTCTCTAGTAACTCATGGAAGGATTTTGGCCTCTGTCTATCTGAAATCCATTAGAAGGCTCCTACAGTGTTCTTTCACATCAGCCAAAACTGCATTTAACATGTTAAACCTCTGTAATAAAGGCATCCTATACTGAATAGCATTTGAAAATGCATTGTGTTTCCCATCCATAATACTTAGGCTGCGGATCGTTTTAAAGGACGCCCACAAGAATGGCCCATGGTAAATCTCTCTTTAATTGGAAGGAACACTTTAATCCATTTTAGCATTCTTTATGCTTATCAAAGAATGGCAATAAATTGTTTTCTTTTGCAGCGTATAAGTCTAGATTTGGCAAATCATCCAGACCTGCAGCTGAAATTGGGTCTCTAAATAACTGACTTTGCCTCCACTTTTGAAACTGTTAAAATAGATTTCAAAACGCTGAAAACAAAGCTACAATCTACAAGCCCGCTCTTTTAGCATCAGCCAGAATTTTGATATTGGTTCTAATGAAGTGAGAGAGGCATTGACAAGTATACAAAGAAATCTGAATTTTAAATGTCGGGTAGTAAGACAATTTCACATGTAATACATTCCTAAGTAGATGGCACTTCCATATGGGAATGATCATGAACTGTTGATATAGATCATCACACATGAGGACCCTACCTGCTGATTGCTTATTGTGTGTAACATAGTGACATATATATATATATATATATATATATATATGCTTCTTGTTAATTCCAAGCAAAGGTGCCCATCCTTTGATTATCTCTGCCAAGCAGATGGCATGGTAGGGTGAAGCATTCACTTGGCTTCCTGACACTCCCCACATTGATTCACACCACCTTATACCCTCCAGCAGGCTCCAAATCCCTCTAAAGCAACCCATTTTGATCCAGGATGCATCTAAATTGGATGCATACTTGTACTACATGGGAATGTAAAACACTACCAAAAAAAAAAAAGGATGGGTGGTAGGGAATGCCACAAGAACACTGAGCGTTTCCTTGCAGTAACTCTCCAAAAGGCCATACGGCAGGCTTCCTCAACCTCGGCCCTCCAGATGTTTTGAGACTACAATTCCCCATCATCCCTGACCACTGGTCCTGCTAGCTAGGGATCATGGGAGTTGTAGGCCAATGAGGTTGAGGAAGCCTGCCATAGGGTATCAGTGCACTGAGGGGACACAGCAGCATTATAGCATTATATTGTTTGAGTGTTATAGTTTTTGCACTTGCGAAAAGCTAAGACTTAAGAGGTGCTTGTTGTCTGCTTTGGGTGTAATCCTTCTTGGAATCTTTTTGAGAAGGGTGCCCTGATTTGGTGGTGGTGGTTGGTTGGTTGTTTTTGAGAAAAGATACTTGAGAGTTTTGCAAACTTAAGAGTTCTGTCTAGCTTGCTGGTACCACCTTTTATTTCCCAAGGACCTCATTTTGGCTCTGATTCAAGTGACGCTCACCACTTGAGAGATCCAGCCTGTTAACACACTGATCACAGGTACAATCTGACCCAACACAAGTGCAAGTGTTTGTGTGAGACAATGTACACCTGCTGATTTAGAAGTGTTGCATACATACAGAGGTACATAGATTGTACCTTCTTGAATGTAATCTGAACACCCCTATAGTTATAATCTAATAACCCACATCTAGGAATGTTCGTGCTCATTTGTATAGCTAATGGATCTTAATTGTTGGGGTTTGGGGGGGAAATGAAGTTTTGGGTCCAAAATGAAGATTCAGCATTCCATTGGGAAGTCTGTCAGGCAGTTTGTTTCTTTCTCAGCTGACTTTTGCAATATTTGAATAAAAGTTGTCACACATCCTCAGGTCACCATTTCTGAATAGTTTCAAATGCCATTTTGAAAAGTGAGGAAGAGAGAGAGAACAATAGCGTATCATGAGATCAGCTCTAAAGATTGAGTCAACTGAATAAAAATTAGTATGCTCCTTCAGAATAAAATTATGCATTTCAAAGATGTGTCTTTGGTTCAGACCATATGCGTATATTTAAAGAGTTTGTGGAAAATATAAAAGATGGTGCAATGTGATAGTTTGGTAAGCACATTCAGATTAGAATTATACATTTTGTGTTCAGCTCTAAACTCCACCTATTTTCAAGATGGTTAGGAGAGTCATTGAAATGGTTCCTTGTTCTAACACAGGGGTGGCTGATTGGATACTAGAGCACAGCTCCCATCTTCCTCAACCAGCATAGTCAATGATCAAGAATGCAGATTATGGGTTTGCAGTTTGGCAATACCTGGATGGTCACAGTTTCTAATACTCCCTGTTCTAATTTTTCAAGAGGCCATCAAAAACCTTGGCAATGATCTTGGCATCTTCCCACTCACCCTGCTTCTCTGGGTAGCTGTTGAATTTTACTCTTCTTACACTATTATTACAAGTAGTAAAGGAATTTAATATACAAAGTGTGTTAAGTAACAGAAGAATCAGAAAGTAAAATTCACAAACATTTGCTCCTACTTGTTGGATTTGATAGCAACTCTCTTTTGCAGCTCAGTCCTAGAGATGTTTACTCAGACTTGCTCCCCAAGAAGTGTGCATAAGGAAGCAGCCTGGTTGTTATTACACAGCCTGCAAAGACATCCTTAACCATCAAGGTGATGGTATATTGATTGAGTTCATCTTGGAAAAAATAATCAAGTGCATGTTTTTATGATTGGCTGATATTGCTTTATGATATTGCCAGCTGTTTAAAGAACACTTGGTTGCCAAAGGTCACCTATAGCCTATAGATAGCCTACATAGCTAATAAAAATGTTAATGCTAACTGGACTACCCGCATTATAAATGTCTTAATCTGAAATAAGATTTTGCTTGGAGAAATAAAAGCTTAAATCTCAGTGGAATATCATGTTTTGCTGCATGTTGAGCCACAAGGTAACACCTTGGCTTCCTGTTAGAAGCCTAGTAATGACTACTGCCATTAGGTTATTTCAGAGAGATCTGTAAAAGACTCTTCTCATGTGAGAGCTCTTCAGTGCAGCAATTTAATCCTTTAACAATAGATTGTCATGCTTCCAAGCTATGTATTTGCATATATGCATTCAATACAGTTTTTATATTTGTTGCAAAAAGCAATGATGGGGGAGGGGGCTTAATGCTGCCATAAAAATAGATGCTTCAGGGCCACTGGCAGCCCCCACCATTTTCTGTTACCTGCTGCAGAACATGCACCCCTTCAAGTCATTGTGGGTACATGAACTGGCACACAAACTGGATTTTAGGCTGGAGTCACCTTCCTGACACTAGCTTTGCTGATGCTTACCACAGGTCAACATACTGGTAAGGTTAGGGCTGCATGAGTGCACTAGCAGGAGAACCAAACTGTCTGTACTGATGTGCCCATGCAACCCCAACTTTGTCACCCCATCCTGCCACAGAATTAGTGATAATACCAGTGTCAGGAAGGTGGTTCTGTGGCACCAGCTCACAGTGCTGGTCACTCCTGCTGGTTCCAATGACTATAATCTAAAGAATGTTAAGTTCCTTAAACCCCTTCATAGGTGTGAACTTATAAGGGTCCAGATCCCTTTGCCCTCCCCCCAATAAAATATTTGAGGGGGACGGCAAAGTTGATGGACATGGCTGCCTGCCTTTCTTTTCCACATTTGAACTTTGTTTCCCAACAAGCCATGTAAATGAACTTGTAAAAGGGTTGTTTGGAAGAAGAGTTTGGATTTGATATCCTGCTTTATCACTACCTGAAGGAGTCTCAAAGCGGCTAACATTCTCCTTTCCCTTCCTCCCCGACAACAAACACTCTGTGAGGTGAGTGGGACTGAGAGACTTCAGAGAAGTGTGACTAGCCCAAAGTCACCCAGCAGCTGCATGTGGAGGAGCAGAGACGTGAACCCAGTTCCCCAGATTACGAGTCCACTGCTCTTAACCGCTACACCACACTGGCTCCATCTGTTAGATGGCAGGAGAGCTGGAATTGGGCAAAAACCTCTGACATCATTTATTACAGTCCTTGTGATTGGAGCAAGGAGAGAGTGAGAGCGAGAGAGATCGAAAGAGAGACAGAGCAGAAACTGCTTGCTCCGTGGGGCAGGTTCACAGAGCTCTGCTAAGAGGAAAGAGAAAGCGGCTCCCAGTTGCTTATTATTATTATTATTAAAAGTAAACAAGGAGCATCTAATTCAGATGACTCAGAGGGTAAAGCTTTATTATTATTGATGAATTAATATATATATTATATTATTATTATTAATAATAATAATAATAATAATAATAATATTTAAAGCTGCATTCAGATAGCATAATATGCCCCTGTCTGAATACAAGCCAAATCAGTGAGACAGGTCCCTACTCTTTATACCCTGCAAAAAGACAAGCAAAGATAGGTGCACAGAACTAATATTAAGCCCAGCATCTAACATTTATTGGAAGCCCCTGCTTCAAAGCAGGATACTAGTTTGTCCTCAGATAGAGTGCCAAATCTAAGCAGGTTTAGCTACCCAAGCACATTTTCAACATTTCTCAATGAATATAACATGAATATTTACTACCGGGCAGTGAGTGTTCAGTGGTGCTGAGCCATTTGGTTTGATTTGATTTTTTTTTTCATTTTTACAAAAGCATTTGATTTGATTGGCTGTAGGATGCTGATTAGCGAAGATAAAAATATGATGCTCTTGAGGATAAGTCACTTATCTTAGAAGCATAACTGTTTAAAAAAGAACTCAGAAATTTGTACTGGGCAAGAAATCTGGCTTGGCTGAAATGGACAGCGGTGTCCGCCAAGGTTCAATATTCAGACCATGTTTATTGGATTTATTTGTCAATGATTTATTTCTGGCTTCTGTTAAATCTATTTTACAACTATATAGATGATGCAATGTTACAGCTTAGTTCTAATTCACTGGCCATTGCCTAGAAGTATTCTGATAATTTATAGTGATGGCTTTAGAAAGTCTTCTGGAAAAAAACCCAGGAAAAACTGCTTGCTATCCATTTTTCAATTAACTCCAAGTGAACAGATCATTCTGGCATTCCTTATGTAGGCGAACTCTCCTGTTTTAATTCAAGATGTTGCTAACTCCTCCCTCTCCTTCAACTGCCCCCCTACACAAAACAGTTTCAGCTTTTTGCCAGTTACAAAGTATTGAAGCAATTTTGACAGCACTTTTTGAAATTTTCAAACCTTTGGGAACCTAGGAGACTACATCAACTAATAAAAAGCAACAGCCAAAACCAAACTTATGCAAATTGATTCTCTCTCTCCCTCTCTTAAGAACAACAGGTGAAAAACAAGTTCTGATATCAGTGCAAGTAAACGTTAAGCATATATTATAGCTATGAGCAGGCTTCCTCAACGTCGGCCCTCCAGATGTTTTGAGACTACAATTCCCATCATCCCTGACCACTGGTTCTGCTAGCTAGGGATCATGGGAGATGTAGACCAAAAACACCTGGAGGGCTGAGGTTGAGGAAGCCTGGCTATGAGTATATAGAGAAATATACCTTTGGGTAAACAGATATACAGCTTTATAATTCAACATTATTTAAAAAATGAAGCACTGACCCACATTTCATCAAAAGTGTTGATTATAACTATTTCCACAAATTCCTTTTCCCTGTTCACTCAGGGAAACCCACTCAGCTGCCTACCACAATCAAAATCAATGAAAAATTGCTGTGAGTGTTTTTGGTGGGAAGAAGCATGGAAATATATCGCTGATCTATAAGCTATGGAACCATTTACAGGCTTTATAACCATTCCATGACATCACAGAAGCTGAGCTAATGACTGCAAAGCATGTTCAACAACTGCGTGCTTAAGCCCACTTGAGGTATGCAACCTGAATGTGGGCAATAAGCTAGGGGTGTGCACATTACCCCTGCCTCCAACATCCCTGTGCACAATGGCACCACCCTCTCCATTCCCAACTTTTGTCTGCCCCTCCCTGCCTCCATGATCAGGAATCCTGAATTATCAGTCAAGCACCGCAGTAGAGCTGGCAGTCATGGGGAGACTGGGGTCAGGGTCCTTAGCCCTCTCCACAGTTTACAACAGGGGTCAGCAAACTTTTTCAGCAGGGGGCCGGTTCACTGCCCCTCAGACCTTGTGGGGGGCCAGACTATATTTTGAAAGAAAAAATAATGAATGAATTCCTATGCCCCACAAATAACCCAGAGATGCATTGAGGAGGAGGAGGAGGAGGAGGATTTGGGATTTGATATCCCGCTTCATCACTACCCGAAGAAGTCTCAAAGTGGCTAACATTCTCCTTTCGCTTCCTCCCCCACAACAAACATTCTTTGAGGTGAGTGGGGCTGAGAGACTTCAGAGAAGTGTGACTAGCCCAAGGTCACCCAGCAGCTGCATGTGGAGGAGCAGGGACGTGAACCCTGTTCACCAGATTACAAGTCTACCGCTCTTAACCACTAGACCACACTGGCTCTTAAATAAAAGCACACATTCTACTCATGTAAAAACACCAGACAGGCCCCACAAATAACCCAAAGATGCATTTTAAATAAAAGCACACATTCTACTCATGTAAAAACATGCTGATTCCCGGACCATCTGTGAGCTGGATTTAGAAGGCGATTGGGCCTGATCCGGCCCCCGGGCCTTAGTTTGCCTACCCATGGTTTACAGTGATGTTAGAAAGTAAGGCTGTGTACACACCATACCTTTAAAGCACATGACTTAATCCAAAGATTTCTGGAAACTGTAGTTTAACGGTGGCAGAACAACAATTCTCTGCACCTTGAACAAACGTCAAATTTTAGGATTCTTTGGGCGAAACCGTGCACTTTAATTATCGTGTACACAGTCTTAGTAGAAAATGGATCTTCTTGTGTAGGGGAGCCAATAAATACCTATAGCACATCCCACGAAGCAATTCATCCTGGATTTTGGGCAGTTTGCATTGAAATTAATTAAGAAGCCACCCATTATCAAGCCACACTCAGATTTTATACTTTTCCTTTGGAAACAGATGCAAGGAAGCTGGGTTCTGAGTTCCTTTAAATATTTGTATTACAGTTTTAAAATTGCATTGTGCTAAAGGTTTGGAGCATTCTGAATGGCCCTAGCTGGAGAAAATAAAAATCCAATTGCCTATGGCAGACTCACTTGAGGTTGCCAAATTCTGCAGATGATAGTATGAAACCTGCAGCCTCAAATTTCAGCGTTTTCTTTGGTGAGATTAGTTTCTATCAAAAAAAGGGCTTGTGTCGCTGAATGTAAAAGGATGCCTTTCCTTCCAAAGGAATTAGGCATTTGCTACATCTTAAAACTTTAAATCTATAGACAGTTTGGTTTTCTTTAATTTGTTAGGTGCTTTATTGACATTTTGGTTACCTTTGCTAGGAACCTTGAAGATCTTCCGAAAGGATCTGTCTTAAAGTGATAATGAAGATAAAGGCACAGAAAGGGAGATAAGCTTCTATTTAACCATTCTGTACACTGAACATTTTCACTGCTGAGGATTAGCTACCACAAAGATTCATTGTAAACTGAGGACAAATTTCTGTCAGATTCCTATGGTGTTAATAGACTGTTATGTTCTATCTATATGTGCATTCCATACAGTTTCCATGGGAATTTGTACATCTTAGGACAGAGAAGATTAAATTATTGCTCTTCTCATTTCCATCTTGTTCTTAAAATCACAACAACAACAACATATTGATTTAGCACCAGTTAAAAATACAAATATGGTAGGATCCCAGAAATGTGCAAGAGACAAATAAATTTTGGGGGTGGGGATCATGAATGATACATTCAATGGTTGCTATGATATGTGGAAGCTAAACAGAACCTCCACACAACCCTATACATATATCTATACCTATAGATCTGCAATGTACCTGAACGTACCAGATGTTTTGACAAATAGGGTTGGGTCAGTATCTCTGGTCCATGTCAATTTCACTGCGGTCTTTCATAACTCTATTCCATTCTGTTTCCACATTAATTGGTGAATGGGTTAAAACTCCATGTGAAAATTCATTTTATGATCCATATTTAGGACACAAAATAAGGACAATATCCAATGATGCCCACCACTTGAACAACAGTCTCAGGGTAATGTGTGTGTGTGTGCACATGGGTGGATGGACAGATGAAAGGGTACACAGACAGATAGATATTGTACACCTAGAAAGTAACAGATGCAAGGATCAATCCATAAAACCTCTTTACAACAATGTACTGGTTCTAAATGTTTACAAATGAGTATCAATAAAGAGGTGGGGGAGGGAGGAAGAAAGGAATTATGATGTTTTAATGAACAGTATTTGAAATAGATATTGTTTAGGTTAACATGAACTAATTAATACAATAAAAAATTGCTGTCTCTGTTGCCCTTGAGAAAAACTTCCATTAAATAGGGGGGAAATGTAGCTGAATGGATGGCCCTGTTTTCAAAAGTGTTGTTCTCATAACATTGCATCACAATTTTCAAATTGGAAGCATTGTAGTGTGTTCCTACGCGCTGTAATGCGTGCATAAAAAGAAAGCAAAATTAATCCCTTCCCCTGATGACTCTAGGAGTGAAAACCCATTACAGTAATAATATTTGTGCTGAGGCCTTGATGTTTTTGTGCAGAATCTGAATGCCATGAAATGATTGCATATAGTGACTGATGAGGCCACATGGACAGATAATTACAGAAATAATCCTTTTTATAGAGGTGTAAGGTGACTTTTTTGATCTGATTTGGAAACTAGTAGAGGCCAAGTAAAACTTGCAATCATTTTCTTCACTAGGAAAGCTTTGTTTGTTTATAGAGAAATGTCTCTGGGGAATATTTCCCTTTTGGACACAGACTGTACCTGGAGATTTTGGGTATTTATTTATTTTTGCATGCAAAACTATTTCAACCTTGACATTTCTGATTAATGGAATAATCCCAAGATTACCAGCTTCACAACCAGCCAGCAAACATGTTCCCAGGATGTGGATGCCAAATGCTGTCCTACTGCCTGATAATATTGTCAAATAGCATAGCCTGCATCATGCCATGTTATGTATCAGAGCAATTGATTAGTATGTAATGTACCAATGGGTGGTATTCAACATAGCACTATATCAGGGCTCCACCAGTGGAACCTTCCTTCCTTACACTCCTACACACAACCTAAACCTGTGGAGTCCCTCCACTCCCTGGGGGAAGACAGCGGTGGGAGGGCAGAGTCCCATCACTGGCAGCTATAGGGAGATCCCTGGACAGCCTAGCTCAGCCCCTTCTTTGACCCTCTCGCTGCCCAAGCATGCCTCATTTCAAGCGTTTCTATAGTACCCTGATGACAGGGATACCACTGACAAAGCTTCAACCTGCCCTAGTTTTTGATGGGTGCAGTAGGAACTCCAAGGAAGCCACTTGCCAGTGGAGCTGAGCAAACAGATACTTCTACCACATCCAGATTTCCACCAACATGGCATACTGGGGTTTTGGATTGCTCCATTAGCTACCCACTGGCTTTCACACTTCTGAAATGTTCTGATGCAATTCTTAAAACAAAACAAAAATCATGAAAATGCACTTAGAAATAAGCATTCAAATGCACATTTTGTGCCGATTTTTTAAAATAAAAAAATGCATTACACTGCAAATAGGATAGAACAAATTTATTCGTGAGCAGGTGTGTTATAGTTTGATTGTTGAGCAACCATGTGCAGAGCGGATGGAGTGGTAGGCCAAATTTTGTGAGCTAAAAAAAAAAGGTACCCAAATATGAACAAAAAGAGTCTCTGAGGTGTACTTGCCTGGAGGAAGTCAGCATCCAAAGTCAGGTCCAGCCCTAGGGTCGGGCGAACAGCAATCCATGTGGTAAATACAGTCCAGGGCTCACGGAATCCAATGATCTTGGGGTCAAGACAAGCAGGAAACAGCGAGATCAGGCCAGGAACCACAAACGTTGTTACCAGCATCTGACTGCTGCTAGAAGCTCTGCTTAAAAAGGCTGAAATCAGCTGGTTCTCATCAGCACCTTCTCCTCCATGTCTTGGAAGGTTGATCAGCTGCAGGTGGAGCTACTCTGCCTTCTCCCCCTTCAGGCTGCTGTTCAGCAGATGACTCCTGGTCCATGACAAGGTGCAAAAAAATGGCATGGACCCAAATGACTAGTTTGGGCATCCACACTTACCTTTTGCCTTGTGCTTTCTAGGCACAGGTCTGCTCTTTGACCAGCCGCTTTCCCCAGAAAAAAACCATCTTTACTGCCAAACCAGAGCAAATGGTCATTCTGGTTTTCCACGGCTGCAAAGCAAAGTTCGGATGAGCTCTTAGGCCACATATTGTGTAATCTTGTAGTTCACAGGCGTTCCAGTGCCTTTGAGGTAGGATTCGCACAACACCAAACTATGAATGACTACTGTACCACAATGCAGTTAAGAGTTGTTTCATGAATTGCATTTCTCATACGAGAAAAACATCTCCATGTAGACAAAACCACGTCTCCTCTCACTTTGGTAAGTGTGATGTGTTTGCTTATTCTGCAGTGAGTACATGGGCCAGAAATCTTATTTGCACAGCCTGTCATGTGTGAAGTGGCCTTCTCAAGATTCATAACACAGTAATGCACAGGGAGAGATAGGGATTGTGGATAAAGTTGGCCCCACAGTAGAACTAAGAGCTGGTAAAACAGGTTATTTATAGTCATGTAAGATTTGGTAAAACTGAGTGCAGAGAACGACAGTAGAATGCGAAACAAGCCGAGAGTGGAGGAGCATTTCATTTGATCCACAGTTTGAAGTGAACTTCTTCAATTTGCATTAATACAAAGATCCTAAAATAATTAACTTCCAGGTTTCACTCTTCTCCAAATTTTGTGAGCTAAAAAAAAAAAAGGTACCCAAAAAGTATGTTTTAGAGTGAAATACAGAAGTGTACATTGAGATACAATATGGGTTGAATCCAAAGTCATTGCAAAAGTGGAACAATTTCTACTTGTGCAACAGAACTTTTCTTCACTCTGGGGCCCCCTTCATCTTTCCACAAATCTGCACTAGAGGATTGGAGGCATTCCTAGGGCAGATGGGGGGGGGGGTCCAGGCAGTGCATGGGGGAGGAGTGGGAGGAAAAGTTACATTGCGCAAGCAGAAGTCATTCCACTCATGCAGACTTATGAATAAACACATGCAAAATTGACCTGTGAGAAATAGAGTGATCTGTCCATCCCTAGAAACATGGATGGATGCATAAATGGGGAAGCCAATTAAAGTTATTCATCTATGCTCCACTTCACGCCTGTAAACTTTGCAGAGTAAAGCCATGAGGTTTTGGGAAGTCATGGAAGAGAGGTCATCTGGATGGGACAATTCAGGATTCTATATCTTTGAAAGAATATATTCGTGGTTTTTCCCCTGAACCTGGTCATATATTCAGGCCAATTTGGTTGTGTGCAAACAATCTGGTTTTCTATTTGTCTAAGTGGCAATAAATTCACATTGATCAGGACTTAGTGAAAATTAGAACACTCTCTATGAAACCCAACCAATGAGATTTTGATTCCAGCAGGCTCTAACTCATGTTAAAAGCCCACAGGAATGTTTCAAATTGTTTAGTGTGTTCTCTTAAACTGTATATTACTTTGCAGTGTCAATACCAGAAAGGCTATTGATTTGGATTGTGTTCTTTTAAAAACACACACACACGCACACAACATTTTAAAATATTAAAAATGGACATTTCTTAATACATTGCATTTTTTGCCCCCTTTCATTATTATTGTCCATGAATCTATATGACAGATTTTAACATTTTCAGCACAGGATGCAAAATTCGTATTATGGCCCACTGTCAGTAGTATAATATGATCATGTGAGTGATTTCTATATCGTCGTGCTTTATTCATTCATAATCTAAAGGGTTCAGTTCCGATTTAGCAAAAATGTCTGAATTTATACTTTTTTAAAAAATGTATATGAACTTTGCAGTGATAATAGAAAAAAAAATACTTTCACAAAGGCTGACCTCAGAAACACACACACACACAAAAACTTCTTGATTTCTGGTAGACAGTATTGGCAGCAAAGCTGTGAGCAGGTCAGGAGGGAAGCTTCTCTACAGATGCTTTTAGAGATGATTTCCGTGTGAGTTCCAGCTGACTGCTAAGAACAAGGGTAGAAGCGAAGCCATGAGAGCAAAAAAGGACAGATGTGAAACAGCAGCCTGGCATATGTTGTGCAACTATCTGTGCACATGAAAATGCTTTCTAATTAGTAAACATCTAAATGAGGTTTAAATCCCTATTATGAGGAATTACCAGGCCCCATCTGTATGAAATGAGCATTGCCAATGAATGAGTGTTTCTTTTATATAGGGAAAAAATAAAAGCCTGGCTAGTAATGCATCAAGCAGTAGGTTGGATGTCAGCCACATATCCAAGATTGCCATATGTCATGGGAGTTTTTATCTCTGTAGTGAGAGCTTGTGAGTTAATGACGTTTTTCATTTTATTATCCTGCATTTATCTCTCATCCGTCCATTCTAGAATGCCTGTTTCTCTTAAGTACTTCTCCAGTCCCTCTTCGCAAT